GTGAAGAAGCATTTTTTTAAAGTTAATTAATCCATAATAATTATACATATTTATGGGGAATAGTGAAATACTTAGATACATGTAGAGAATGTATGACGGTCAAATCAGAATATTCATATCACTATATCTCAAACATTATTTCTTTTTGTTGTTCATATTCAAAGTCCTCTTTTCCAGCTGTTTTGAAACCATMTGTTATTTTTAACTATAGTCACCTAATGTTCTAGGGAGCACTAGAACTTAGTCATCTGACCTAACTAATTTTGTACCTATTGACTTACCTCTGCACTTTCTACATGACACCCTCTACCCTCCAGTGACTACTATTYCATGGGTATGACATCTACTTTCCACATGAGGGAAGAAGCATTATTTTTCTTTTAAAAAAAGCATAACAAATTAAAAACTCTCWCATTTTACCTTTTAAATGTTACCATGACAAATATGAATATTTATCTGACTATATCATGTTATGATAAAATCTGGTCTTCTGRAACTTCAACATTTGGTTGGCATGTTTTAAAATGTATCATTTGTTTCGCATTTRATCAAGAATCATTTTTATTGAGTGGCTATTATGTGCTTTTCCAAGTGTTTATGATGCAATAACCAAGTAAGGTTCTCTAGAGACATTTTGCTGAAGTTTGGAGGTTTTGCCAACTTCTTAAACTGAACAGAACAATTCCCTTTATGCAATTATTATATGTAACATCAGAAGTCATATGTCAATTTYTTCCAGAGGAAAATGATTCAAGTTTACTTGACACATTGTTTAACTTTGAATAAAATGAAATTTTYCTGGCAAAATAAATATATCTAATTAGACATTTATACAATTTTACAAGGACAAATATTTTTTAACTTTTTGCTTTCTCAATGACATAACGAGAAGGATAATTCTCTATATATTTATGCAATAAATATGCTAAAAAGTGGTTTTCCAATTATTTCTTAATTTGAAAATAATATATACATCCTCCTGTGCTTTGAGACATATCTCATCTTCTCAAATGGATAACTGTCCTGGCCTGCATCAAGACAGCCATACTCMTGAGGCACTCAAAAGGATAAAATACAAGTTACTAATCCACGGGAGATGGTATTTGCTTCACACTATGGATCATGAATTTATAAAGTGCCTGAGTACAAAATTAATGTACATGCCAAGTCTTCTTGGTTAACCATCAACCTCTCTAAGTTTGACCAGCTTCCCCTGCCTATAGGAATAATAGTTCTCTTCTATCCTGGAAAGAGGAGTAGCATTTGGGGGATCTCTTCATTTTATGATTTATCAAGTTGGTATAGTATTTTCCCCTGGTGATTGTAAGTTTGAACTAACTTTGGTTTATTTTGACACAAGTAGAGCAACTGAGCTGAAGGGGGGAAAATGGGAACATATAACAACAACAGCAACAAAAATATTCATAAAATGAGACTTCTAGACCTACATTTGCACCAAATTTCCACTCTGTAATTGCTGTATACTTATACTCAATTTGGAAAGAATAAGACACTTTCCTTGAAATTATAGAGACATGGGCATGGGAAGTATGATTGTCAYTTCTAATATATCCACACAAGGAACAGATCTTCAAATCTTAAAAGACTGGTTGCCAGATTTCATTTTCTTTCTGAATATAAAGACAATAGTAAGCTTAGGCTAGTTGTTTTCCTACCAAGGTCAGCTTGTGGTAGCTGATCTGAAACACATACTCAGAGTTCTCCTCTTCGCTTTTAGCAATGGATGGAAGGTTCTTGGATTTATCTTGCCTCATCTACATATTACTGGACACATTAGTAGGTAATAACTAAACAGAAATGGTGATACCATTAGCCAACTATAATACTGCCACGTGTTTAGAGCATTACATTTCAAAACCAACATGGTATGAAATTTCTYCCATCCTGCTAGACAATGCAACCAGCAAAGTGGCATGGATGCAAGTGTCCCTAACAATCATGGTGATAAAGCAGCTTGAAGTTAAAATATCGATTCTGGGAATCCAGCATGCATTGACTGATGCATCAGCACTTCAGCCTGTCACATTCCAATGACAAGGGCAGAGCTGAGAGACACATCCTATTTTATAAAATGCAGCCTGGGTTTAGTACTGAGGATCACAGCCGCTGTGTGATTTTTGTAATGCTGAATGGTGCTCTGTTATGATTGAAAGATCCTTCAGGGACCAAAGGTATGTAGACAGACTTATTCAACTTAATATTTAAATAATGCCACACTCACCCTAACCCAGTCAAGAATAAAACATCATTGATAGTTTTCGATGCCTAGCAAACATAAATATTTAGTGTCTCAAATTTTCTGATTGAAAAAGAATGCAGTCTTTCATYTGGGCTGCTATAACTGAGTAGTTGATTGCAGACTGATAAATTTATTTATTCATCTATTGAACAACTGAATTATACAAAATGATGATGTTGGGACTTTAGCTTTTTTTTTTTCAGTCTGGCATTTCTAGATGTGCATATCACTGAATTCTAAATGATAAAGTGTAAACCAACAGGCAATTTTTTTTTCTTCTTCAAGTACCTTTAGGCAAATTTAATAAAGCAGAAACACATCTGAGATGGGACTTATTGGAAAGAAATATAAGAGGAGCATGTCCTCTCACCAGAGCGGACCTTGGCTCCGGCTTTGGCAACCCATCTCCCCCAGCCCCTGCACATGCTATTACCTATCACCACTCACTGCATTTGTGATGAATTTAACTGAAATGTTTGTAGATATAAACTCACCAAGAAACACGACTGGGGGCTGGGGATGTGGCTCAAACAGTAGTGCGCTTACCTGGCATGCACAGGGAGCTGGGTTTGATCCTCAGCACCACATAAAAAATATAATAAAGATGTTGTGTCCACCAAAAACTAAAAAATAAATATTAAAAAAATTCTCTCTCTTTCTCTCTTAAAAAAAAAGAAAAGAAATCCAACTGCCACCCCTCCCTTTGGACTTGCACAAAATTTCCCACATATTCAGTCTATACAATAATTTCATAGCTACATGAAATTGGTATGAAAGAGTAAATACAAATTATGCTATCTTTTTACATTCTCCTTAGCCACAAAAAAATTCATAAGTTAAACATTGACATGGAATAAAATTTATGAAAACTACAAAATACTTAAATTGATTCTGCTAAAAAAGATATTAAATCTTAATGACTAGGAAACTTCTTTAGAGAAATAAAACACAATGTTTAAATAGAATTAAAACAGCAATATAGATGTTTAAAAAATTAATAGTAAATCATAGCACCTACATGAGTTATTAATTAAACAAAAAAACCTGTGATCATAAAGATTTTAATCACTACCATTTTAGCTTCTGCTGGATATGTAAATTATAACAGATGAAGAGAGAAACGTGATTGAGGAAAAAAAATGACACCCTCCTTCTGTTACATTTTTTTTCTTTTGGTTGACATGTTTTTGGTGACAATTTTTTCTCACAGTTAAAAGTTGTATAAAGTCAATTTTAAAGGAAACAAGTAAGAAATGCTCCTTAAGTGGGGAGAGCATTTCATTACTAGCAGTAAAGTTATATAGTTTGGGAGATGATTTATAGACAAATAAACAAATGCAGAAAAGAGGTTAAGTCTGGGCAGATTGGCAAATTTTGTTCACTTATTGGCATCCCTATACCAGGCATCTGAACTTCAAGTTTATACAGGAACACACTTATGGCTTTTATAGCATTACAATATCCCTAATGTTTAAAGCTCTATTTTGTATTTTTATAGCCTTACAAGCCCTCCTCAAATCCATTTTCTAAAAATCTTTTCCAAATTATGGCTATAAAATGGCCTTGTATTAGTCCAGGAAATTACCTGAGCCAATGTTGTTGAAGCTTTCCCTCTCTCTCTCTCCCTCTCTCCCTCTGACACATGCACACACACACACACACACACACACACACACACAATCGCTTATACATAACAAAATACAGAAATTGTAACAAGAAAAATAAAATGTCAGTTGAACAGTTGAAATGCAGTTAAAGCTCAAACAGAGATGAAAGAGCCCCTGTGAAATCCCACCCCTGCCTTCTCTGTCACACATGTGGGTGTACACACACACAAGTCACATACATGCATGAATACTTGCACATGCATGCACATAGAGAATACCACGATCTCTTTTAGAAGCAGTGGCATTGCTCAATTTATGTTTCATCCAACAAGGGTGCCTGACTAGTGTTAGATGCCCAATGACTATTGAGGGAAAGTAGAAAGGAAAGAAAAGGAAGGAGGGAGGGAAGGAAGGAAGGGAAGGAAGGGAGAAGGAAAGAAGTAATGGAGGGAGGAAAGCAAGGATTTAGGAAATGATGTTGGAATACATCCCATCTTAATCCCAGCAGTGGCTGCCATGTCACAGGTTAATTCCAGCTGAGAGATATCTATTCAGGGGCCAGGGACTGCTTTTCTGTGCAAGTGTAAGACACCTACCTAAGCGATATGATTTCAGGTAGGCTCAGAGGAGCCCCTGATTTAAAAAGCAATGGCTCCTTCTCCAATATAATATTGATGATTGAAATTCCTTTGGATGGGCTCAATGATTTCATTATACTGTGACCAATAATTATCACACCTCAGGCATCAATCACTAGCAAGGGTGTCCCACTGTCCTGGAATCTTTACCTGCTAAAATCTAATAGGTTAACCCATGTTTTCCTTGAGAGTAGATTTTGATCATAATGATGAAAAACAAAAGGAGTCCCTAGGCACTGGAAAATAATATAAACCAAAGAAAAGGTACAAAAAGGGTCTGAGACCATCCTCAGATTTGCTAGTGTGTGATATAATCATTTATTGCTATCACCAATGAAGCTAGACAGGAACAACCTGCAGAATTGAATTTATAATTTAAAATGACATATTTTCATCATTTCCCTGACCTCAAATAAATGCAAGATTCATTGGACCTAGTCACACAGTGGTCTTATAGGGTGTTAAACACAAAGGTTGTTTTAAGTTGTCCCCTACCTACAAACAACTGGCTGTTCAGCTGTAACCGGAAATGGCCCTCCTCTGAAGTCTCTCTGGTGCTCCTTGGAAGGCTGTCCACCTGAAGGGAGGTCTCTTTGAGGTTCCTCTCAGCCCGGACATAATGCCATTGGTTGTCATTCAGAGCAGAAGGAGACTGGACTACAAGTTCTACTGGGCCATTCCCAACATCAATGGCAAATGTGATCTCAGAAGGAGCTGAAACAAAACAAGGAAACAGGAAGAAGGATGAAAGATGAAGGAAGTTCTCAGTGTGTGGAGGGCACTAGTATGTCCTGAATGAATGAGAGAAACAATTAAAGTCACTGTCATTACAGAGCAGACATACTCTTTAAAATCCCTGCAACACTGAAGTTGTTATTAATAATAACAACCACTAAATACTAAGAGCATACATGTTCCAAGCACCAGCACCCTACCTAGTTGGTCCTAATGGTATAAATCCAGGAAATAGCATAGGAAACTGGGAAACTGATGCCTATGTGATAAACACTAATCTATGTGGAGGCTCCTGGGTCTTCTCAGGCTTCAGCTGTGTCATCCTGGACATCTGTAGATATGAGTTCATGYAGGCACTTTTGCTGCTACCGACAGGAGAGACACAACCTAAGAAGCCCAGTACCCACTTTCATGATATCTCATTAAAACATATGATACAAGCATATATGCTGTTCCTGTGTCTAAAACAAACAAGAACAAAATTAATTTGAGAGACTAATTTCCTTGACCAAGGAGAGATGACTGCAATGCCTTAACACAAACACAAGCCTCTGCTTCCATGTTGGATTACTTTCATGCCTCTTTTTGCCACTCTAGAATAATCAGATATCACCAAAGTTAGGTGGCAGCCAGTTAAGAGAAATAATACCAATGATATTAAAATACCACAAGTATCAGGGTGGTTGTGATGGTAATGGTAATAATGGTGGTGATGAGAGTGATGACATTGGTGGTGGTGGTAGTGGTGATGATGGTGGTGACTGTGTTGATGAATGGAGTTGACATTGATGATGATGGTGATGGTGCTCTGTAATGATTGAGAGGGATGGACAGACCTGGGAGCATAATAGGTAGACTAAGCTCTCTATCTGGCACTGTGCTAAGCACTGATGGTAAATCCTCTCATTTTAGTCTTCAAAATATCCCAGGTTGGGARGGGTAATATTATTATTCCCATTTGAGTGGAAAAAGGCTCCAAGAAGTATGAATCATTTGCTCAAAATGTCCCAGATAATAGTAAGAAGCAAACTCCAAAAGCAGATTTCTCATCAGTTTTCTCTATTGAGAATATTGTCTTGCATTTTCCATTATTACACGGGAATTATGTAAATTTGAAGGAAGTGGAGAAGTTAATTATAAAAGTGAGGTTGAGGAGAAGGGTCTCATGTGAGAAAATGGAGCCTTCATATGCCAGACCTTGTGGTCCTTCTCGGCAATCCTTGATTGTCTCCTCTTCCCTCCCCTTTCAATCAGAAAATGTGCATTTATTTACTTGACAAAGTCATGAACAGCCAGATCTGAATTATCAGAGACACCAAAGGTCATCCCCTTCCCCAGCCTTTAAAACCTTAACAAAAACTTATCCTTCCTATAAGAAGCCTTTATAATGCAACATTTCAAGTAACCAGAGACCACAGATTGTTTCACCTTCTTGTGAGCTGTGACCTTAATGAGAAGCAGTAAGTCTAAGGCTGAAAAGGGGGATTCGAGAGAATACACTGATACCACCTTTTCCTGGAGTAAGTTTTTGATGACACACTTTCTCAGTTTTCTCATCTGTAAAATGAAAATAAAAGCAATACCTAGTCATCAGGTTGTTTATATATTAATCTTTTTTTAAGATTTTTAAAAAATATTTTTTCAGTTGTCAATGGACAATGTATTTATATGCAGTGCTGAGAATCAAATCCAGTGCCTCACACATACGAGGCAAGTGCTCTTCCACTGAGCCACAACCCCAGCTCTACATGTCAAACTTGGTGAAGTTTTTGAACTGTGCCTGCCATCCAGTATGAGCCCAAGTTAGCGATGCTACTGTCACTACTTCTGGATGATGTAATTTCCCCACCCAGGTGACTTGGCTATGACTTACAAAGCCATGCATGGAAGGAAATGGAACTGAAAGAAACAAAAGGGTGACAATTAATGGATAAAAGTGAAGAAAGTCCCTTGAGTCATTTCTTCTGATTCACAACATCAATGACACTTTGTAGCCCCAAACATTTCAAAACCAAATGATTGCTGAGAGATTAATAGGTTCTGTATTTATTTATCTCTACAGAATATAGGTAACAATCAGTAAGAATTTGGAGAGAAGAAGGTTAAAGATTTTGCTAACAAATATTCCTGCAAAACCAGCCTTGTGGCTATCAAGTTCCACTCAGAGAGCACCTTCTGGTGGGGGGCTCTCTGCTTGGCTGTGTCTTCCCCCACCTCTATGCTAGGTTTCCATGTATCCCTTATTGTTAATAATTGGTTTACTGTGTGTCCCCCCTACAAATCTGCAAAATCTGGATGAACTCTATTTATTTTAGACCCAGCACATAACCCTGGAAGCTCTTGCCAAATTAAAATTTTATTCATTAAAACATGGTTATATTGCAACTATAAAATGCAATTTTCCTTATTTTTTAGCTTTATATCAAGGTATTAGATTCCCAGAATTTTTTTWAATATTATTTTATTCAAATAACCATTAAAGGCCTACAACATTTAATCTTTTCCCTCCTAGAACTGAAGGAGAGTCAGTGAAATGAAGTACTATTAGTTAATATTTACTGAGTGCTTGCCATGAGCCAGGCACTCTGCTAAGCATTTTGGGATGGCCTAATTCATCTGAGCCTTATTACTGCCTTGTGAGATTGTTACTTTACAGATGAGAGAACTATAATACAGGTGGCAAAACAAGTCACCCTAGTGGCAATGGGGTGGAGTAAGGTTTGATTACTGGTGATGTGTTTCTGAACCTCATTTTCAAAACCATTTCTCTAAACCTCACATTGAGACTCCTATATACCCTTTGGGGGCAGTTGAAGCTAGGATATATAATATAGATACTTGAAAATAATTGAATGAAATATTTGTGGGTGAATGAATGATACACCACACAATGCCTACAGACTATGTGGTGGTGCACTGGAGCAAACCCAAGCTACCATGAATGATCCAGTGGCCCTGGGGAGGGTGGCCCTGGGAAAGCAGTAACTCTATGATGAACTTGCATCTGACTTTCCCACACCCTAAGTGTCAGAAAGATACCTTCTCTCAGCATCAACTATTTTATTGTAACCATAAAATAGTGACCATAAAGGAGTCACGTTAGCCTTTGAATGGGTTTTATCAAGTCCGGTCCTCTGCTAGGCACCAAAAATTCAGAAATGAATGGGACAAGAGGAATCCACATTTTAATTTACAAAGATTGATAGTGGGATGTGAAAAATGCCCCAACGGAATGTTAACCAATGCTATGACAGAGGAGAAGAAGCCTTCTGACCAGAGGCACCTTTGCGATGTTCTTCCTGACCTCAACGGGAAGACCTGCTGACCATATCCTTGAGCGTGTTCTCTTAGTAAACCCTCACACGTCTCCTCTGAGGACGAAGTCCTGACCTTCATGAACATTAAAGCCCAGCTTCATTTCTGTGTCCTCATCTCCCAACCCGGGTCAGACATGAGAGTGATCTCAGGTACATTTGTGGAATAAGGAGGTTGCAAGTCTTTAATGTAGCCAATTAACCTCTCTGACCTCTCATRTCCACATCTATAAAATGAGAAATATGAACTGAGAGGAAGAAATATTGTCATAGTGTTCAGACACAAGCGCTCTCTGAGGATCTGATGACTGCTGTGATTTTTGTCTTTTACACTATAGTTTTGCACAAAATCTCAGGAACTTTGTGAATGCCCTATGCCTTGAGATCTGGAGGAAAGTCATTCTGTGTTCTCCTGAGTCCTAACATTCTTGAATCTTGAGACAATTCTTCAAAGMAGAGTAGGGGGCTGATGTAAGGATCAGAGGGATGGGATTAAGTCCTGGATTCTGAGCCTTGAAGGTACATGAAAGGACTTTCTGGATTGTTGTATATACTCTCCATTTTCTTCCTCTGCATATTGGATGAGAAATTGAGCAATGATAATTATAGTACAATACAGAGATAATCATAGGTAGGATTATTTGAAAACAAAAGGAATTAATGTAAAGATTTTAGTCAAGAAACTAATCAATGTAATCACTCAACAATTCAGTGAAAATTAATTTTAGCAGTCTTAATTTTTACTATTCTCTGAGGTTATGACTATCATATATTCAAATTAACATTGAATTTAGTAATATTCTTAGTAGGATATCTCTGAAATGAAAATTTTAAATATTTCTCTCTCTCTCTACATATATATGTATATATACATGACATATACTTATGATTTTTTTTTACTCAGAAACTCAGGAAATTTATGGATTTTTTTCTACTTAATTCGCACTGTGAAGTATTATAGAGATTATTTGAATTAATATTATTAAAACCATCCAGATCATTAGAATAAAAAATGAAAAGATTAAATTTTAATCATTTAGAGAATACGTGATAATATATTAGGCCACAAATAATACTAGGATTACAATTGCACTGAAAACTAATATGTCAAAAATTAAATGCCTATTTGCTGGTTCCCAACAACCACTCTGGATATATTTTTTTTKGGGGGGGGGAATACCAGGGATTGAACTAGGGGCACTCAACCACATCCCCAGCCCTATTTTGAAATTTTTTTTTTTTTTTTTTTTAGAGATAGGAGCTCGCTGAGGTGCTTAGTTGCTCTCTTTTGCTGAGCCTCTCTTTGAACTCACCATCCTTCTGCCTCAGCCTCCCAAGCTGCTGGAATTACAAGCATGTGCCACCATGCCAGAACTCTGGGCATTTTTATTTCATGACTCATCTCAATCCTGAAAGATGTGCCTTAGAAGAAATCATAATTGATTTCCTTCTACCACTCTCTCTATAATAGTGCCAGAGTTTGCTTTGGGAAACTACCTTCTCTTGCACTTTGGTATCAGGCTAGCTTTGCCTCAGCTGGGAGGGATTTTAGCATAAACAATCTACCATCTTTTCTTGTCTGGCCACAGTCTTTGGTGGCCAGGTTATCAGGTGAGTTGTATACTACCTAAATATTTGATTAGCTGGAAATGAAATGACTCCAGTCTTTTGCAATGTAACTCTGCTGTAAAGGACAGCTAGCCTGAAGGAAATATTAAGAATTTAGAGCACAGAGAAGATACAAATCATCCACTGATGACTTTTGTTCAGTTGCTGAATTCAAACAAATGAAGCCAGACCCATGGCCTCTGTGCTAAGCCATGTGCCCCAGAACCAGGGTTGAATTCCCATCCTTGTGTCTGTCAGTTCAGAATGAGTTTTCTGTTAATTGTGGCCAAACACATCCAGTTGGTATCTGAGTGTTGCCAATGCCATGGTACATTAATAAATACTTAACAGGTGAAGAAATATCCAAAGTGGCTCATGAATTGACTTGGACAGGCAGAAATCTGAATCTATATTGGGCTCTATAATTCAAGTTCTTTTTATTACATTATACCTACTCTTAAAAGTGATTTCCTATACTCCTTCTCATCTAATCCAAATACCTAGTTCTATATGCACACCATTGTGGGATAATTGTCAAATGGCAATTTTTCCCACAATCCTGTTTGAAACACATTCTCTAAAACTTGAGAACATAGTGAAGTATCTTCCTTTTCACAGACTACAGGCTAATCCCAAGGTGACAGAATTCAAATGCCTTAGTTGGAAGTAACTTAGAGGAAATGGATTGGAAATTTGACGGAAACCTGCTGTTTCCTGTCTATCAATTTGGATATATCAACGTTGGAAGCTGCTATTCAGATGGTTATAAAGGAATACTCCTTGGGGATGGAAGCAGAATCTATTTGGAACCTCTGCATTTGGTAAAAAGACTTTTCCTTTCCAAGCAGCTAGAGTGYATGGGTTCCTTGCTATGAACTCTTTAGGGTAAAAAAATCCCATCTGCCTAAAATCCATAATGTGAGTGAAGCTGCAAATAAAAAATGCAAGATGCCCTCACAATTTGAGCATTTTCTCTTATAAACAATAATAGTGATAAAGATAATAACACATTTTGGAAACATGAAACCTTGCACTTTAGTTTTATTATATTAAATCTTGTTTTAGAAATCTAAATTCACCAATCTCGTGATAAAATATGCACCAAATAATTACATAAATTGTTTTTTTTGGTAAATTTTTGTATTAAAAACATCTTTGTACAATTCAAAGGGCAAAAAACAGCACCACAAAGTACAAATTAGACATTGATATGTAATTAATGCTAAATTATAACTCATTATCCTCCAATAGTATACCATGACTTTGCTGTGGCTTTAATGAATCAAAAGGCCGTGGGGCCTAATTTTTATTACATTTACAGTGAGCTTATTGCTTCCATATTATGCAACATTTTCAAAGCATGGCCAAGTTAGTATGAGGAATTTCATTTTACACCATAGCCACAAAAGCTTCCTCCCATTAGTAGACTAAATCCTTAGAGGAAAAGGTGAAACTCCCAATTAAGAGGCTCTCTTGCTTTGTATGTATTGTCCTGTAGCTGAAAAGAAAACACTCAGCTGTTCCTTGATTTGCTGGAGATTTATACAAATATCTCTGCCATCTCTACCAGGTAATGCTTCTGTCTCCTTTTCCAGATCTCTCAAATCCCCAGTGTCTGTTTCTGAAGTGTTGCTTTGTTTTTTCAAGATATTTCATGCAGTCACATCATTGTTGTGATATGGTCAGTTGCTTCACTCAAACTATACACAGAGGGATGGGGCACTCAGTGACTCATCACTCTCATGTGCATAACAAGGGCAAGGCAGGGATGTAGCCCACACCCTGTTTGTGAGCAATAAAAGTGTGCATTGGGTGCAGAAAACCTAAAGGAATGGCATAAACAATTAAAATGTGTCTGGTTCTTTCTGGTTTTTTGTTTTGTTTTGTTTTGTTTATTGGTACTGGGGAGTGAATCTAGGGACCCTTAACCACTGAGCCACATGCTCAGCCCTTTTGTGTATTTTATTTAGAGACATGGTCTCACTGAGTTACTTAGAACCTCACTAAGTTGCTGAGTCTTGATTCCTGGCTCAGTCTCCCAAGCCAGTGGGATTACAGGCATGCACTACCATGCTTGGCTTTATTTTCATTATTGAACAGTAATTCTAAGCAATGTCAATGATAAAACATTCCTCCACCAAAATAGTCTTTTGCTCATCTACCTTTCGACAGATGCTAAAGTCACTGTAAAATTTTAATAATGTATATATCAACTTCATTTTATTACTATATTTTATTACTTGCCACTTAATAWATGTTATAGTCTGGGGCAAAGTCAATACAGACAACTATTTAAAGTGTATTTAAATACTGCTGGCTTCTGAACATGCAGACTCACACACATGTTTATTTTCAAGAGTAAGAACTCAACTTCTGCCGTTTTATCTATACACTTTCTGTGCCATCATTGTTTAGCTTGAATCTACTATTAAATGCAAAATGTTCAGTACCACAAGGGTTGTACCCTAAGAGAACTCAAGAAATTATAAAGCATTGGAAATTTTATTTTCACTTAAAAAAGGAAAAACGTATTATTAATTTTCTGGTAAAAGCATTTTGGTGAAATAATAATGATATTTGGTTTCAGAGCTATTTGGAATTTCGTAGAGCTGATCCTAAAACAATACAGATACAGTACCATAATTTCTGGAATTTATTGTAAAATAGAACTTTTATTAACCTTTAGCAAACATTTGCACATCTGTGGCTTTATGTGGAAAACCAATCTAATTTAAAATTAATAAAGAAATATTCTTTGTTCAACATAGAACACAGATGGACAAATATGACTAACACTCTCTTTTTAACACAAACATGTATACAAAATAAATTTTGATGAAGTCATCAACAAATTTGTAGAAAGAAAGATTTAGAAACAGAAATGTTAATGTCTTCATTACTGGTAGAGATCAAAAGATTGGTACTTCCCATTTTTAAAGAAATAAATTATTTGCCATTGTATTTCATGTACTGAAATATATTTTAGTAGTATCATTATATATAAACTGCTCAATAGTAGAAGATTTTACTATTTGTATTTCTATTAATTTTCAAATCATGTGATGATTATTGCTGAATAAAATCTGTATATGGGGATGGCTCTCTATAGGAAGATGGACATCCTGGCATCTCATTCTGTAGATATACCCCTGTTCATGAGGAAAAGATGKGGAAACTGAGAATTCTGATTGGCTAGTAACACTATCTTAGTGGGAGGAGAGAAGWCAGGAAATCACTTTTGAAGCACCAGTGCAACACAAAGAGTTTACCTCAAATGTCAACAAAACGTATAATTATGATAATGATCTCTACTTTCCATAAAAGGTATAGTCCTTTGGTATAAAATCTCAAAGTCATGGGTAAAAAAAAAAAAAAAATAACCATGGCTCAGATAATGGAACCCACAATAGGTATCATCAAGAATTTCTGGAATGTATATATTTTGATGACAGAATGACTCATAAATGCTGATAGGACATAGTTAGATCATAAAGAATTCAGAGGAAGTGGAAATTATCACTGCTAATTTTACCCTTGTCCAGAAAGATTAACTTGATGATAAAACACCACTGTGCTGTGGTTGGTGTCAAAGTCAAGGCTAACACTTATCCTGAAGATCAATGATAGTAAATTCGTAGATGAGGGCACTTACAGCTCATTTCAAGTCGGATGAAGTCTTTAATGCCAAGGTTTTCAAGGAAAACTCCAGATAAAGCGGTGGTTTTAAAAAAGAAGGAAATATCAGCACTGAATTCCGCATGGAAGGTAGGAAAGTGGAGATAAGAGGCTTCAGTATAAAATGAAACAGCATTCCAGAAGTGTCCTGCAAATGAGAACATCCTTAAGCATGGTTCATTGTTTTCTATGCAGGATGGAAAACACTGGGCATGTGGATAATTTTCAGGACTAGGGGAGACTGCAGGGAAAAGGGATAAGCGAGTTAAAACATCTTGTGCTCATGTAATGCAGAGAGAAAGCTTTTTTCGATTTAGTACTCACGGTCGCCATAGCAACGCAAGGGACCAATTCTCCAAGCAGCTTCTGAGTTTGATCTGTTGGTATCAGTGATAACTATCTGAGTGACAGGCAAGTGGTCTTTGAAGGAAAGAAAGCCAGTATCATTTGTCCTGCAAAATATAAATTGAAAAAAAAAAAAGAGGACAAAATGTGAATAATCTCAGGACTCTATGTCAAGACCCCTCTTTTCAAAAGTAACCTGATTTGATTGCAGGAGGCACGGGTGCAKGAGTATAGCAGACGGTCTTTCATCTCAGGAGTGTATATGGAAGGCTGGAATGCCAATTACAAAACCCATGGCCGGCTTCCAAACACCACTGGATTTTACATCTTCCCTAAATGTGGTTGCAAAAACACTGATAGTTTACAAAAGATTTCTGCTACTCCTTGTGACTAAGAGCACCCCACCTGCCCAAAACAGTGCTAATGTAATATTAAACCTCACCTCATTTCCTCATAAAAAAAATCAGCTATCTTAGCAACTAACTTGAAATAGACATCACAAATCCCTCTCAAAATCACTCCAAGGACTTGTTTCAGTCACCTGCCAACAGGTTTTAATCAGCTTTAGATGTTTCTTATCACTTTTTAATTCATGTAAATATAAATCTTTATAGTTACTGGTTGCTTTTCATTTTGTTCTTCCTTTTAAAGATCTTAAAAGTTAATGACTCTGACTTTGTTGGAGTTAATTATGCAAATAAGAAATTGACTAGTTACCTTTTGATAAGAGAGTTTATTAAAAAAAAATAGGGAAAAAACATTATTCCCCCCCACACACTTTSTAGGTAAAAATCAGAAGTAAAAAAACTGGCATTGAAAGTATAAATATTGTGAGCCAGAAATTGACTAGGGATGGGTATATTTATACCACAGAAATGCCTGTTCAGTGAATGCCATTAACTTCATGTACAAATGGAGAAACTGAGGCCATCACAGTTTCTARTGTGCCTAAATTCACATTGCAGAAGGGACAGGAACCAAGTCGYATTCTTGAAGTGCCCCAGCATCTGTCACATGTCTTTAAGGACAAAGCTTTATAAGTACACACATTTGCTCTGGAATTCCAGGTCTCAGTTCCTAGCTGTGTCAGTTTGAGCAAATAAATTCCTTTCCGAAATCCTTACTCTACTCTGTTTCTAAATGGAGATACATCTGCAATAACCGCATTTAAAGGATTAAGTGAGATTATATAGTCACTGAGCATAGTGCCTGCTCTATGTTGAATATTCCAAAATCTAAGTGGTGACACTTACTTTAGTTCTCTCATTTGTCCCTGAACCACTATGTGGCCTCAGGCAAGTCAATTTTTTTTTTTTTTTTTTTTTTTTAATGTATCTAGCTGTGACTCTGTATTGGAGATTTCTTGCTACATAGTACATGTGGAAAATTGAATTTTAAGATTCAGGTTCAAACTCACGAGATTTTAAGAAAACACATATTAATTTATTTTGGTTATAAATAAATCAAATATTCACTTGCATACTTTTCCCTCCAGTACTATTAACCAAAAATGCTAAGAAACATATTATAGAATACCTATAATTTGAGTACCATATTTGGAGGACATTAAAATGATCTAATTTTAGGTTTAGAATTTAATTTAGATCATTAAATTGATCTAGAATTAGGCTTTATTTTCAGTTTGAAAGCACATCTATGAAAGTTATGTAGACACAGAATAAACTTGTCTTTTACATTCCAATATATTTTCAAATAGATTTTAAAACAAATTTCAAATAGACAAAGTAGAATGAGTATCAAGCCCAGATTCTTTCCTGAAGAAACTTGGTGATTTTATATAGTATTTTATTTCTCTCCATTTTTACTTTCAAGGTAAAAATCGTTGATTCTGAAGTCTGTCCATCAATGCTAACTTCTACCTCCTTTACACACTATGGCATCTTGTCTGCATCAATTTGATGTTCTTGTGTCAAAGTGCTGGCCTACACAAATAGACCTATAAGAATGAAAATCTCTTCCAAAAAAAAAAGAAAAAAATCACATTTAGTTTGATGATGCAAGACACATTACCAAGCGCACTATTTGTTGTTGTTGTTCTAAAAACTTAAACTGAAAGAAAAAGTAGGTTGCTTTCCAAAAGTTGTTTAAAGTAGCAGAAACAGATACAAACTCAAATGCCTAGAGGGGCCAGGCAGGTAATAAAAAGAAGTGAAGCCAGTTTTATGTTAGTAATAAATGGAACCTGATACACAGCTTCATTGTCATGGAGTGGGTGAGAAGAGTGCCTGGTAGAAACTAGATGTCTCTCTTAAAGTGGGGAAGCAAGTTCCATTAGCAACAAGTAATAATGCAGATCAAGAATGCAAGACCAATGGCCTAGCCTGGAATCTTAATACGATATGTTTCCATTGCAAATCTTGGCAAAGTGCTTAAAATTCTTTAAAAAAAAATAAAAATATGKTGGGAACCAACTCTGAGTGGGCCAATAAACTACATGWAAGGGTTTTGTTCAGCCTATAGGGAAGTAAACTATCAAGGGGAACTTACAAATTTATTCATGCCCTTAGGGATGCATTGAGAATAAAATTAGATCAAATTTAATTTATGAGTAGCAAGTATAACTTCACCATTTTGAAACTATGGATAGAATGTTTGGGGTGATATTGATAGTGGTCGTGGTGGTGGTGGTAGATTGAATAATAAAATGATACAAATTATGGTGATACCACTTGATAGGTAGGAAGACTTAAGGTGTAGAATTTTTTTTTCCACATTAAAGCTAACATTTCGTAAATACTGACTTCCTCTGAAATGATCTATGAGATCTTTGTTATATAACTGCAGTTTTGAGGTGACTGTCATAGTGGGAAAGCATTTTCATTAGAAACAAATTAGCAGGAGCTGGAACTAGGTGGCTCAGTACACTAGTTGTATGACAAATGAGATCACTCTGGACCTGTTGCCTTACCTTCTGAATGGCTATAATACTATTAATGGAAATTTTGCTGTAAAATCAAAGTTAATAATTTATAAAACAGCTAACATGCTGAGAAGCAGAGAGACTTGATAAATAGTTAATGAAATTATCAGTGATATTTGAAATAAAAATGCTAAATGAAGGGAATCTCGTTGTTGGAAGGAATGGGCAGGCTAGCCAAAGGGTCCAACTCATAAGAGCATGCGGATCAAAAGAAAACTCAAATTCTCACTCAAGAGCTGGGCTGAGGCACAAAATCTGTCAATGTGATTGCTCCTTAGCTTAGTTATCTGAATCTGGAGATTTCACTAAATTTAGAAAAGCAGAGCTGAGGTGGGAGCTGCTAATTTACTAGTGTAACCTTGGTGCAAAGTGTGGTGAAATGCCACATGCTAAATGTTATTTCCATCAACCAATTTTGGTTAACTGTTGCTCTGGAACCTTCTTTTAGTACAGTCATTTGAGCGACTGAATCCATTAAGAGGGATAATGTGTTTTCCCCTTTTTATATCCTTTCCTATTTCAATCACTCTAAAGTAACAAATAAAACATTATGCATACGGCAGGCAGACTTAGAAAATTATAGGATGAACTCAAGACCTCAGCAACTTTTGAAGTCCTTGTGTGAACTTGAGTGGATTAATATCAATAGATTCTACATAACCTTCCTTAGAGTGGGATGCACGATGCTGTTCCCTGTGGTTGCAAAGTGGAAATGACCAGTAGGATGGCCACAAGCAACTCTGCAAATCTGAAGTTCTATATTGATGTTTGCCAATGACTCTATCATAGCTTTGTTTAGAAGGCATTAGTTGCATTTTGACTTCCTTCTTCAGACTTCCCAGGAAAACGACCCAGGGAATTAGTTGATAAGAATCTCAATATAGGCTGAAGGGTCACTTGTCTGCTAACAAAAACAAATGCAAACGTTGACAATGTCTACACATGGATAACACCCATCCCACTGTGCTTCCTGGACTATTCTTTTTTTCAGTCCTGAGCACAATAAACATAAAGAAAATATTACTTGCATACACATTTAAAAAATTCTGAAACTGTTTTATTTTCTATAAATACTCTAGAAACCTGAAAGCCTAGGGCTCTTCACAATTAGATGTAAGAAAACAAAGTCAGGTCTTGGCCTAAGAAATCACAGTCAATGTTTACTCAATATCACTTTCCTGTAAAGAGATAAAAATGGCCCTCAAGACTTTACAGGTATGAAACTGATTTAAAAATAGTGTCACTGATGAAAAATCGTGGAGGCATCATTTGCTGAACATACTCTGGATTCACAGATTTGAAAGGAACAACCAGTAGTGCCATAAATATATGCCTTTCTAGACTCATCAGTCCTAGTCAGGAAGCAAGCAGATTAAAAGTCAAAACCATTGGATTGTGGAGCACACACACTTGTGATTCAACATCACTTAGATGCAAATGACTCCATACCCATCTCACTCATTCCCTGGAATAAATCAGTTCTTTTCTTCAACTCTAAAAATTTTGCCATACTCAAATTCAGTTCCTCCTCAAAAATGTTCCCAAATGTTCTGCATCCTGTCTTCCTTCTCTGCCCTAAATTCCTTCTTATATATTTAATTTTTACATATATATATATTATTATATACAATGATGTTTGTTAACAAATTGACTTGTGTGTATTGTGGGAAGCCATTCTCGCATGTGATTGGGCACCTCCCGGATTGGGTGTGAGGCGTTCTGGCCAAACTGTGTCAGAGCTATCCCCACCTTCTCCAGGTGCGAGAGCCTGTCCGTGTGGGGGTGTGACTGACCACTGACCCTGAGGCCAATCACTGACCCTGACCTTGGAATGCTGCCCCCCTTGACCTTCTTTGGATGGAATTTTCCCCTGAATTTCTTGTTCCCCAATAAAAGACCACTCCCTGGCGTGCTCTCTCTCTCTCTCTCTCTCTCTCTCTCTCCTGCTAGCCCTGAGTAAGCCTTGCTGCCCCACCGGATGGTTCGAGGTGAGAGCCAGAGAGGTGAGAGCCGTCTCGGACCTGGTCATAGAAAAAGGTAATCGAGTCTGTGTGTTTTATTTTGATCTCACTAGTTAACTTCTATGCCACAAACCTCTTTAATGAAACCAGTGTGCTGGTCGCCTGGTGGAGTGCATATAATTATTTTTCCCATTGGAAATGGGTA